TTATTTTTTGAGAAAAAACGTCACATCATCATATTTACCTGTTGGACAGGTTAATTTTTATTGGTGGTCAAGTAAGTCAAGTTGAATGATTTTTTGTGATTCAAATATCACTTTAAAGGTTTAAAGTGCTAGTCCAAAAAATTTAACGTTTAAACTATTAGTACGTGTCACCATAAAGGTTTTTGATGCAATTTTCCAGTTAAAGATGTATAATGAGATTATACGATTAGATTAATTCACTAGAGTAAGTTATAATCAATTTGATTTATTATTGGGTCTGCTGAAGTTGTCGTCCAGATTAGTATTCCTCGTGATCAAAACTTGATATAGTCAAATGAACTAATAACAATAATTAAGTTGATTTAATATAAAAAATTATTTTAAAGATATTATACGAAAAATTCACTCAAATATATAGTTTATATTGTATAAAGTTTGTGTGTGGCTGAATATGTTCCTATGTTTGAATTCAATTAACTTTCATTTCTTCATATTTTCAATCAAATATTAATATTAGAAAAAAATAAATATATGAAAACTAAAACCAAGTTTAATATTATAACTTTAGTCAACTTTCATATTATAAGAAATAAAATAATAATAAATAATAGAGATTCTAAATTAAAAGGAAATAATTCCCTAGTAATGTTTTCATATTTGTTTTAGTCAAATAAAATATCACAGAAATAAAATCTAATAAAGGAAATCGATAGGAAAATAAAGAAAAATCCCTTCAAATCAATGTTTCTTATTTTTTATTTAGTCAAAAATAATATTTAATAAAGACAATAATAATAAAACTGACTACCAAACAATAAAGAATAACAAAATAAAGAATTCAAAACTTAACTATCTTTTTAATTATCCTTGTTATTATTTTCCATTTCTAAGTTTCTTAAACTATATTTTTATTTCATCATTACTTTATTTAATTCTGTCTCATCAATTTCAATTGTTTCTTAGTTTTCTATATAATTTTTCTTTTTGATTTTCAATACAATAAAGAGAGAGAAAGTAATATACTTCCTATTAACATAACAGTTCTCAAGATCGACTTCGGTTTATATAATAAAATATACTATATTGTATTTCTTTACTTTACTTAGATGTTTAATGGTTAAGTAAATACCTTACTAATGTCTTCTAATTTTTGATTTATTATACTTCAAAACTTCTTTTCATATTTAGAAATATATTTTCTGTGTATTCGTTCGGTTTCTTTACAATCTTAGTTAGTATAGTGAAAATTAGGTTATATATCTCGGTCTACTTAAAATAATTAATCGATCGACAATGTTTTAGAATATTATTCTTATTTCTATAAAATTATCGTAAACTCGATTGAGAACATTCTATAATAATACACTACGTCACCATTTTAATACAAGTTTATAGGAATGAAATAACAGAATTACAAGTTTTCCATTTTTGTTTACCAATTAATGTATCCATTTTATGATACATCACAGCTAATATCAAAAAGTTATATAATAAAAATTCTTGGATTTGCCGACAAAAAGCATTATGTTGCAGGAAATTGAGTAAAGGTTTGTGTTGGCAGATCCTGATAAAAGTTCTATGTGTGAAAACTTTTTATGATTCAATAATCATACTCAATTGTAAAATAAATAGACGATACTAAAGTTTGGTAAATTATAATGAAAAAATGTTAGTGTATCATTTTGGATATACAAAAAAACTGATGTATTATAGTACCGGAAGTATACGTGATGTGTTGTGATAGAATTTTTCCAGCTTGATTTTAGAACAGAAACATTTCTCAAGATCAATGGGGACGGACAGTTATAAGCACTCAGAATAGACGACGGTAATGTCTACATTTTTAAAATGAATCGCTTAAAAGAGAAAATACGTTAATATAACAAGGCAAAAAGGAAAGTCCTTTGTAAAAAAACAAGGTAAAATGGAGTGTTCTAAAAGACTGAAACAATTGTAGCTAACTAGGTCAAACTGTTTCAATGGTTGGTAACTTTAATTAGGAAGACTAAAACTCTATAAGTGCGTCTAAATGTATTTGACTAGTTGATCAAAACTACTTGTGGTGGACATTGAAAAATTTATGAAGATACTAATTAAGATAGTACTAACGAGAATTATATGAACTAACAATGAACAAAACGAAAGCATAATAGAGAGAGAGATTGAAGAAAGAAACTTAAATTGATAAAAAGAGAAAACATCCAA